TGCATAAATTCATTTAACGCATAATAAACATTTCTGCACGTTATTAAATATAAAAACCAGATAGAAAAAAACACACCTGACAGCAGCCGCAGCCGCAGCCGCAGCCGCAACTGCCACTGCAACTATGTATGTGTAGCGATATATTTATATGGCTATAGCCTCAGATCTGTATAGCTGTGTAGCATCATACGCATCAGCTGTTTATTTAGCTGCAGGTTTTGTAATTAAATTATTGTCATTGCACTTTGCGCTTAATTTGAGAAGCGCAAGCAACAACAACAACAGCAACAACAACAACAATATATTTTTGTTTACAATTTAATGGCACATCTCGGCGGCTCCGTCGACAGCCCGCCAAAAGTGTTAAGAGGGAGCGCACTAGCTCGGCCCAAAGCAGCAGCCAGACGTAAAAAGCCAAGAAGGAACACAAAATAAAACAAAAACAGAAACAAAAACACATTGAAAAGAAAAGTGTGTATAAAAAGAAAAACAATTAGCAAAATGATTTACACGCAGCCTCCCATGTCCAGCGACAACAACAGCAACAGCAATAGTAGCAGTAGCAGCAGCAGCAACAACAATATTTGCTGCCTTCTCGAAAATTAATTTTTCAATTTTCCCAGTTTTCATTTTGTGCATTTCACAAACAATTTTTCTTTAGTCTTCTTCATTTCATTTTTTCATTTTTCTCCTTTCTTTTTTATGTGTATTTAACCAAATAATTATGACATCAAAACAAAATACCGACGGCTCGTCGAAGAGTCGCTTAACACTCTCGCCATGCGAATGGCACTTTGACACCACCAGCCAGCAGCCAGCAACCAGCAACCAGTGGCCAGTGGTGCTGTGGTGCTGTGGTGCTATGATGTTGCCTGTGCTTGGGGGCTGCCAAGCCAAACAAGCAAAGGCGACGCCCGCCCAACTAAGTGCCCACTAAAATAATTTTAAAATTTTATAAAAATAAGCATTGATGTTGTTTTTACATCTGAATACCCTGTATGCGGCCAACAGGCGGGTGTCCCACTCGCTCTCCACAACTGATCCAGATTAACTCATTAGGATCAAATGAATGTATATTATATATGAACTAGGAAGTATACCAAGTGCATTTGATAGCCTTAAGAACTTGACTTCGATTCTCCAGCAATGAAGCTTATCTAGTAAAATAAATAATAAAATAAAATATTATATTTTATATTATATTTTATACATTATAGAATCTCTTTATATATAATAAATATATATATATTTATTATTTTTTTATTTTTATACATAATGAATTATTGTAGAGGGTACAAAAGCTTCGAGCTGTTGAGGTTGAACGCAGTTGTTGCTATTGCCTTAGTGCCTGCGGCTGTTTATTTTCATTAATTGTTCTCATGAGGAAACACAGCAGCAACACCAACACTAACAACATGCCCAGTCGAAGCTGTTGGCATGAAAAGTGTGACAAAGTGTTACGCATGCAAAGACGGCGTCGGCATAAGATACATTTTCCATGTTGCAGTTGTTGTTGCCGCTGTTGTCGTTGTTGCTGTTGTTGTTGGTGTTGCTGTTGCTGCACTGCTTAACTTGTTGCCTGGCTGAGTTGTCCAGCTGTCCATGGCAGGCTGTCCGAGCCGATGCTGCCCGCTGCGTGAATGATGGACTTTGTCTTTGTCTCCTGCATCTGCCAACTCTCTGATATGGCAGAGAGTTGTTGCAACAACTGTTGCACTGTTGCATGTGAGTTGCATGTTTGTATCTATGCTTGCTGCCCGATACTTTTACTGCGCGTCTTTTGCATTTTGACTAATGACGCCGCCTCTCAAGGCGTTTCTCCAATTTCTTTTTATGTTAATAACCAGCAACAACAACAACAACAACAACAACAACAATAAAAATAATAACAACAATAACAACAACCGCAATTCTTGTTGCTGTTAATTGTTTGGCCTTTGGGCATTTGCTTGGATGCTTTTTGCCCAAGGTTAGCTTAAGATATCGAATCTCACAGCTCTTTATGCAAATCTGCTGCTGTCTGTCATTGCATAACGACAACGACAACAACAACAACAACAACAACACCAGCATAAAAATAACTCGGTACATAAAATAATAGCCAAAAGACAACAGATTGCATTTATTTTTGGAGCCGCTAAGTAGCCAAGTCGATAAGGTCGCCACCTAATCCTCAATGAGGCCTCCATAAATACCTAAAAACAACAATAAAGCACAGCCAGCTCGCGCCGAAGATGCATTGAAGCTGTTCGCGTCGCTGGCTTTGTCTGCGTGTCTCGGCCTGACTGTGGGTCAGCTTCGAGCTCAGGCTCCACTTGCCAAGCTAAACAAATTGGCGCCCATCTATCGAATTGTTAACACTCGAAGAGCAGAACCCCAAATGAAACTGCGCCACCAGTCAGACACACACTCACACACACGCAGACACGCAGCAACAACAACAACAACAACAACAACCGGTTCGGCAAAACTTAATTAAAATAATATCAACATAACAATTTTTATTTTAGTTTTGTTGTATAGATTTTTTATTCTTTTTTTTTGCCTTTCTTTCTTCCTCATCGGAGCTGCGGCTCGAAGCTGTGTGCCAATATTCATTCATGGCAAAAATCTTGAACACTCGACTCGATCTGTCTAAAGACGACTAAGACGGCGACTACTATGCCCAAATGCTATGCAAAATTATGCAGAGTGAAAGAAACGGGCAACAGACACACTCAAGACTTACTGTACGTATAAAGCTTGTATGTGCTTTACACAGTGAGCACCAACTAAGCTGAACTTTAGTTAATAAACGATACACTTAGATATACCCGTTTAATTGAGTCTAACTTTAAAGCGCTTCACATGGCAGGTCTAAATACACCTCCCATAGGCTAGCCCCTTCGAAAGAGATCAGTCGATATCTATCTATCCTCGTGTATCTGTTCTAGTATCTGCCTCTCTCTATATCATATCTATAATGACTGTGTGCAGAACTATAGATACTAGCCTAGACTAGACAACTCTGAAGCTGATAGAGCTAGTAGCTCTAGCTAGACTAAGAGTAGAGCAAATGTTTTGCTTTCTATATATATCTCGCCTAAAGTGTTAATCTTATAGCACACTAGCTTGTATGCTTATTGGATTTGTTCTCTCTGTCTTTGCTGTGCAGCAGTAGCACTTAGGCAATGCTCACTGTAGTAGGCCAACTTAAAATGTAAATGTCTGCGGCACGAACAGCCACAAACAACCACAGCCTGAACGTTGGCAGCTTCGTTCCTCTCTCTCTCTCTCTTTTTTTTAAGGGAGTGTCAATTGTTAGCCAAGTTATTAAGCGCACAAGAAGAAGAAGCTGAGGCCAAGATCAGAGCTCAGATTCGAGCTGCCAGCCAGCCGGCGGACCAGTTCGACGCAAACTGAAAAACCAAAATGAAAAAAAAAACAAACACCGTTCGAGCTGTGAATGATTCATGTGGTACTCGCATTCAGATACAAATCTTTGATCGACTGTAAAAATTATTGACTGCGCCGCATAATTTTATGAATGAATGGAACAACAACAAAGGCAATGGGCAACGGGCAACGCGCAACGCGCAACAGGCAACAGACAACAGAAACACAGCACGCGCTGCCTTCTAGCTATAGCTTTAGCTGCATTTGTATATGTAGGTGTATCTATGTGTCTTTGTGTGTGTGTGTGTCTTAAATGTAATTTCACTGCTCCGTCGCTCGCTCGACCGTCGCTTGTCTCGTCTCGAGTGCACTTTGCCACGGAAATTATGCGTGAAATCAAATGTAAATAAAAAAGCAAAAGTGCCAAAACAGCAAAACCAGCTGGAGACGAGGCGAGCTGAGCGAAGATGCTGCAGATGCTGCAGCCAAGTGTGTGTGGAGGGTTCAGTCGGCGGCCAACTGCTGGCACGGTAGTTATTTTGGCGCATAGCTGGCTGTCAACACGAGTGCACTTGTAATGCAAATCAACGCGGTCAAGTCGAACAGCGACGCAAGACGCACTCGAAGATGACGCCACAGTTGCCACAGTATTCGGTTGACGTAGATCTTGGATATATTGGAGATCTTGGCATGGCCACATAGCCATAGCCACAGCCACAGCCACAGCTTTTCTGTGGGGCAGTCAAATCAGCGCCGTTTGCCAAATTATAAGCCAAGTTTATCGCATATTTAGATTTAATTACGCATTGCGCAACTGCACTTCGCGCTCAAGTTTCTGCTGGCCATTGCGTAAGGTCAACGCTTGACCCAATGTGTGGCCATTAGGTGACCCACTTGCTGGGAGGTGTGCAGCTGTGGGAAAGCCGCATGTTCTACTTCTCACTGTCCACTTAAGAATTTAATCGATATTAATTTAATTGCTTAGCTCGAATGCGAACTGCTAACTGCTGACTGCTCACTGATGCGTGGGCGCAGGCGCAGCTCCCAGTTTGAGCGGCTAAAAACGAAAGTCTTGACAGCAAGATGCCACGCATGACATGAAATTTGTGGCAAATTAAACTGTTTGTGGCTCATAAATTGTGGTAAACGGCTGCGTGTTATGCAATTGAACAGCTGTCATGGCAAATCAATTAAAAATTTTTTCAAAACTGAAAACAGCCTGGCGACCTGCAATTTACAGCTAGCCAGCTTGCCCGATTTTCGGTGTCGACACCACCCGCTGCGGCAGACTCTAGTTTTTCTCTTTTTTTCAACTTTTAATCCAGCAGCAACTCACAACGCATTAAAACAGGCGACAAGTTGCATTGCCACTGCTCGATTTATGCGCCTAATTGAGCCGTGGCAGCGCGAAATGCAATTAATACACAAAATCAGTAATTGTTATCGATTTGTAGAGCTGTGCTCAGTATGGAGTGGAGCTGGAGATCGATACTCTACTCTATACTCAGGGTTATTCTTTGGCTCTATGAATAGTTTTAGGTAGTTGCACAATATTTAGTATAACATTAGTGTATCTAAGAGAAGCTTTAGCCTAATGACATTTATTTTGCTCTTCTTCTTTGCAGGCGGCGTAGCCCCTGGAACTCCATCAGCGGCCATGATCATGGAAGGGCTTGAAACCCTGGTGGCGCCCACGCATCACGCATTCCTGCTCACCGAAACAGCCGCCGCGGCCCATTTCAATGTGCTGAGCTTCGACACGTGCCTGTTCAAGACCAGCACGGCGCAGAGCGGCAGCCCCTCGGCCAGTTACCTGGGCGCCGCACAGTTCGGTGCGGCCAGCAGCAGCAACAGCTCATCCGCCGTTGCCAGCAGCAGCAGTGGCCAAACTCTGCTGCACTACACGACAGCGGTCAGTCACAATCACAACAACAGTAGCAACAACAACTCGGTGCTGCGGGCACGCAATCAGACAGCCACACCCACACAGGGCGGCAGTCCAGGCAACGTGGCAGCGCAGCCGATTGCCGGCAGCGCAGCAGCCGCAAGCAGCGGACGCAGCTCGGCGTCGCACCTGAGCCTGTTGAATACCAGCCAACAGAGTCCCGTAACAGCCACGGAGCACGGCGTGGCCGTGGAGGCGAAACAGCTGATTGAGGCTCTGCCCGGCGATCTCAACACGCCGGTAACCACATCAAGCGATATTCCCTCGTTCTTTGGCCCATCCACAGTGGTTGAACCACCGCCAATAACTGGTGAGTAAAGCGCAAATCTAATATGGTGGGAGGGGCGGCAAATTCCCTACATAAACTTTGATGCGGCGCACAAAGTTAACATAATTTCAAAACATTTACTTGCAAATGGCGGGCCAGAAAAGAAGTCTGCATAACCTGGCTGACTGTTCAGTTGCCAAGATTATTATGCTACGTTAACTAGGAGCAAGCAGTGACATAGCTAGACCATATCAGTCAGCATCCCACTTGAAAATCAGAAGCTTTACTGAGATCCAAGTCCAGTCGCATTCATAATCTTAGAAGCAGCCCGTAAATACATAGGAAACTTCCTCTATGAACTATAAGATATGCATATATAATACACCCTCCCGACAAACACCTTCGCATAGCTGGCGCTGCTCAAATGGAAGGGTATGTCTGTGAAAGACTGCGATAGGTGCGTCGCGTACTTTTGCTTGGAGTTTCTTTATCTGAGCGCTGCTAATGGATGCAGCTGCTACATGCTGCAGTTGCAGTTGCAGTTGCAGTTGCAGTCGACCGAAAAGACTGTGCGGACTCTAAATATGCAACTAATCCGTTGTCAGGCTTAAGCCGCTACATAAATCAGCCTCAGTCGAGGCCAGAAAGCCAGCCAGCAACTGCAGCTCTCTCGCTCTGCCACTCTCTTTCTAGCACACTTGTCGTGGGCTCTCTTTTTAACACTCATTCAACAGAAAAGCACAAACGCAAAACAAGTTCAAAATCAAAAAACAAACATTCAAAAATTCAAGTACCAATTTTATTAAAATTTTGATTTCCATTTTCTTTGTGTTTTGTGATTTCTTTTATTAATTATGGGCCGTGTTAAGAGTCGCTGTAGAGCTTGACATAAATAGGTAAATATAGACATAACACACATATATATATATATATATATATATATATATATTTATTTTTTGATTTTGTGCCTCGAATCAATATCATTTTTGACATTTAATGACTTCAGCGCTATGTGGACTTATTAATAAAAAGTAGCCATAAAATAGCTTTTTATTAATTGCAAATAAATTCAATTGCATACAGAGAGGCAGCTCGCGAGAGCGCTCTCTTCTAAGACTGCACAATAAAACAAAAGGCACTTAATTAATCAACAAAACTACAACAGCAACAAGAACAACTATAATAATACATAATAGCAACAACAAGAACAATGGCACATGTATTAAACATTTCCGTTCAGTGTCAATGTTTCGAGCGCAATTTACTCGGCTCGAGATACGACGCCAGAGTCCAGAGACGATATCAACGACTATATCGTATTATACATATATAGAGTGTAGCTCTGAGCATGACATATGCACAAATGAAAAAAGAAATACACTTCTAATTGAATTAAGGCAAAGCAAATAAAGTATACTAGATTTTCCGAGCACTATCAAAAACAATTGAGTTTAATTGCTCGCGTCATATTTATTTTCTTTTCTTGCAGACAGAAATAAATTGCAAGAAGAGTTCCGTCCAGGCTCAGATTTTCGGTTAGAAGCTCTGCGAGCAATTGGAAATGCATAAAAGCAGACAACATGCATATATACATATGTAGATATAATCGTATATGTGCAATATATTTAACTGAGTAGCTGAAAATTCTAAAAATCGGACGCGCCAAGAAAAAAGTTTCACTCATAAATTTGGCGCAGTCGCCTGACAAGCGGCCCACGCAGCAAACAAATTGTCAGCAAAACAAAAAATAGATATATATATCTAGCAAATAGAAAACATAAAATCGAACAATATAATAATACATGCAAACAATCGAGCGGGCGGCTCTAGCTGGATGGGGGGAGACGCGTATTTATTTTCTAGTTGGCTGCCGGACAATGATAAAGCAGCTTTTAATCGCTAAACTTGGCAGCGGCCGCTGGCATAACTTATGGCCAACTGGATGAGTTATGCGTGTGGCATGTGGCAAGTGGCAAGTGGCAAGCAGCGGGATATGGGTGCAACAAATAGACCAATTGCCATTGTCTGCTGTCTCCAAAAATTGCGTTGCCACTGCCAAATAAACTTAGCATTAATTATGGCAGATGACTAAGGCGACCTCTCTCTAGATTTGCCTGTTCCGCTGCCTCTCAAATACATATATATACATATACACATGTGTGTGTGCACATATATGTAAAAAGAATTCTGTGAATTCAAGCGCATACCCCGCTCAAAAGCTTTGGCCGAGATTGATGTCGCAGCACATTAGGCGCAATGCAACTCAATCAATACGTTAAGCCAACGGCAGTGGCATTAATGACTATGACAATGATCATCATCAGCATGCAATGCTCAGGCCACATGAAAGAAAAAACAAAAAACAAAATACAACAATAACAGCAACAACATCGAGAAAAGGCGTCCAGCAAGAGTCAGTCCAACCGGGCCGGGCCGAGCCGAGCTGTGCGCCCAGCGGTAGCCGCGTAATTAGTCTTCTGGCCGACACTTTTGCCTGGCTAGAGATGAGCGCGTGACGAGACAAACACGATAAGCACGCTAGTTGCCCAATAAGCCTTTAATCTGCTTTATAAAGCAAAAACCCCTTTTCGCTTAAGATTTCTTCTCTGTAGCGCCCAAAGTTTCCTTTGTTTTTCCTTTTGTTCAAGCAACATTCCAACTTGATTTTTGCAGTCTAAATTAATTGCTTTTGAACTATTCCAATTTTCGAGCTTTTTTCTTATTCATAGAATTCTTTAAAAATAATTCTAATATTTTTCTGCATTTAATAAATGTATTTGAGTCTGTAGCTTCAGTCTTCAATTACATTTAATGCGATAATCCTTAACCAGATTAAATTAGAATGAATTGAGAGAGTCGCATTGGCTGCTCGTGCATTGCTGGTCGTGGTTGGCTGCCATCTCTAGCTGCAACTTTGCCAACTTCAGCAGCAACGATGAGCGATGATGCGACCTCCCGTGTTGTTCGATTTCCGCGAAATCAAAGCGCGCCCAGCTGCAGCAGCAGCCCATATAACACTAACTTCAATGCCAGGGCCGTTCAAGCGAACTGTGATTGATATCGAACAAAGGCAGGAGCAGAGGCAAGCAAGCAGAAAGTAGTCCCATCATTCCTATCGGGCTTTTAAGCCGAGCCTAGATAATATCAAGCACCAGAAGGTAGCAGCATAACTGGAACTAACTGAAATCCATTTTTATCCTTATTGCAGGCTCAATTGCATCCGAAGATCTGTCGCTGGAGCCGCAGGTTGTCTCCGCTTCCAGTCCCGTGTTGTCCTCTTGCAGCCCATTGAAGGAGGAGCGCAGCACGCCCCCCGCGTTGACCATTGTCAAGGAAGAATCAAGTAATAATAGTTGTAACATGTACCCACTACACAACAACAACAACAACAACAACAGCCACCACACTTCATCAACAACAACATCAACAACAGCAACGACAACAGCCATAGCCACAGCAAAGCAAACAGCATGCGATACTAGCAACACTGAGAGCGTTCGCTCGCCCGCAGCAACAACCACAACAGCAGCTGGCACCAGCGGCAACACACACTCACAACAACAACAGCTGCAGCACAACAGCAACAACAATAACAATAGCCACTGTCAACACAGTCACCAACAACAACAACAACAACAACAACAACATCAGCAGCATATGAGCTCGCCACAACACCAACAACAATACCAACTCCAACAACAACACCAAATACTACACCAACAACAACAGCAACAATTGCCACATCATCACCATCATCATCATCACCATCATCACAATCACCATCAACACCAACAGCAACATCAGCAACACCAACAACAGCAGCAGCAACAGCAACAACAACACCAACAGCAACAACAACAACAGCAACACTACCAACAACATGCACTACAACAACAATCACAACAACTGCCTGGTAAAATCTCATATCGTGCCGTTTTCACCACGACAGGCAACACCAACAACTGCATGCAGCAGCAGCAACACCAGCAGCAGCAGCAACACCAACAACAATTGGCGTCTCCACAGCTGAGCGTGCTGCCCGGTCAGATGTCGCCGCCGTCAAATAGCCTGGGCAACAGCTGGGGCCTGCCCAGTCCGGACAAGTCGCTCTTCCAGCCGCCAATGTTCAGTCTGCCCGCCCACTACGCCCTGCAGCAGCAGCAGCAACAGCAGCACCAACAACAGCAAGCAACCGCCGCCACGCCATCGCCCTACGACGACGGACGCACCGCAGTGACTGCTGCACAGCACGCCGAGCTATTGGGTCTGAGCATGGACTGCACGCCCTTGAAGCAGACATCGATTTACACGGGCGCCACAGTATCAACTGCTAACTTTGCGGGCCTCGCCGAGCTGCACAGCAGCCACGAGCAATTGCAACAGCAGCAGCAACAATATGCGGTACGCTCACAGCTCTCCGTGGGCACGCCCAAATACCAGTGGCTGGATACGCCCGCTGACTATGTGGCGGCCGCTGCAGTTGTCCAGCAGCAACAGCAACAACAGCAGCAGCAGCAGCAAACCCTGGTGCTGCCTGGGCCCACCTCGTCGGCCAGCTCGAGCAATGCAGCGCTCGGCGTGCTCATACCCAAGCAGGAGACCTACACGGATATGCAGCCCAACTCAAATGGCACAGGGTACTCGAGCGCCTCGGCTGCTGCAGCTGCCGCAGCTGCGGCTGCCGTGCAACTAGCCGAATACAGTCCATCCACCAGCAAGGGGCACGAGATACTGTCGCAAGTGTACCAGCAGAGCAGCGTGCCATTGAAGCTGGTGCCCGTCAAGCCGCGCAAGTATCCCAATCGGCCGAGCAAGACGCCCGTGCATGAGCGTCCGTATGCGTGCCCCGTGGAGAATTGCGACAGGCGCTTCTCCCGCTCGGACGAGCTCACCCGCCACATACGCATACACACGGGGCAGAAGCCATTCCAGTGTCGTATCTGCATGCGCAGCTTCAGCCGCAGCGATCATCTGACCACCCACATACGCACCCACACAGGCGAAAAGCCGTTCAGCTGTGACATTTGCGGACGCAAATTCGCGCGCTCCGATGAGAAGAAGCGCCATGCCAAGGTGCATCTAAAGCAGCGTATCAAGAAGGAATCCAAGCTAAGTCGAGAGCAACATCAGCAGCAGCAGCAGCAGCAGCAGCAGCAACAGCAACAGCAGCAACAGGCTGCAGCGGCAGCCGCAGCCGCACAGCAACAGCAATTGCAACAGCATCACCAACAGCAACACCAGCAATATCAGCACCATCATCTGCTGCACGCTGCCGATTTGGCCAACGTGACCTCCAGTGCGACCAGCATGTAGGCCACAGAGAACTCAACGTCTTCGATTGATTTCAGCATCGAGCGACGACGGCCGACGGACTTTGAGGAGTTGGGCATCGATCTCAGCCTAGCCATCGATATCGATGAAAGTCCCCAGTCATTTGACCTCACCTTGACATCCGACTATGAGACACTGTCCCCGCTGACCAGCTCGCTCGAGTTCAACTATGTGCTGGATAGTCAGGACTCGAGCGAGTTGCTACTGTTCAGTCAGGACTCGTACAGCCAAGGCCTTTAAACTGCAACAAAATACAATAAAAGTTCAATATCTTTCGACTACCTATCTCACGCAGGAATCAATCGCTGATGCTGAATTTAAGCAACAAAAATAAAAAACAAAAATGCAAAAAAAATAGCAAACAGAAAAATGAGAAGAAAAAAAACAATTAGCTAAATAGTTACAAAAGTTGTAGACGTAATTTTTGGGTTGTGCTAGCAGCAAAATCTACGCAAGACATATATGTTAAACATAGCCTAAATATAATATAAACAATTAAACTCGAGCGTCGTCAAGCAGCCACACTAAACAGAACAAAATAAAAACAATAACAAATGCAAAACAAAAAAAAAACAATAAACAAACAAAAACATAGTTACTAACCCAACAAAGTCTTAAAACTAAAAAAAAAGGAAAAACAAAACATAAACTAAAAAGAAATAATATTTACAAATATTTAACTTATGTCTCTAATACTGTGATCTCATGTGTAATAATTATTAATTTTAATTTCCTATAACTAAAAACATAAAATAAACAATTAATTTTTAATACAATTATAATCTTTTTCAACTTTGCATAGCTAATGATCATTTCGAATTATATAAACACAAAAATCTTAAACAAATGAGAATCTAACACGAGAAACTAATTTATTGCAGTTAAGCATTTTAAAGTATATTATTAACTTATTTAGCGTCTTAGTGTTTAAGTTTAACACGCACACGCACACGCACACATTGAAAAACGAAAGAAAGAAAATAAAATAAACTTTAGCATATCATTTTTTGTAATAAGCTAAGAGATAAATGAGCCATTTTTGTGCATGTCATAAGTTACAGGACTTAAGAACTTAAGTTGAATGTGTGTTAAGTAAGGAACAAGAACAAATGAACTTGTGCAACAAATTACGATTAGTTCTAAATATTATTATTTTAAAAACTAAACTTACACTGTGAATCACGTGTTGAAAATGCCTCTTGTACTTCCTTAATTGATTCGAAATCAACGGCAACAATAATTTAAATCTAATTCTAATTGAAATTGAAGGGAAATCATCAATGGATCCGAAAACAAAAAATTTTCAAAATATATGTTACATATTTTAGTTTCTAGTTTGAAATTGCTTTAAGTCTAAGTTGAAACCTTTTTTATAATTAGTTTATTTTATTTTCGAAAATATATAACAATTTTAAAAAATCAACAAAAACAATACACAAAACATATTTTTGTTTTTTTCTTTCACTTCCTATGTTTATTGCCGAGCACTTTATTTTTTTCAGTATCATATACATATTGAATATATATATATATGTTACACCTATATATTTATATTTGTATGTCAATCATCTAGCCTTAAGAGTCTAACGAACAAACCAGGTAAAGTTAGAAACTACATGAAACTCTAGTGCCACTTAAGCAACGATAGCTGAATAACGAATGGACGAATGGAACGAATGGTTTGAGCTACATATTTTATTCTACAGTAAAATATGCCTAAATGATAAGAGCATATTTTGCATAGCCGCTGGCAAGAGACACAAAACTTAGTTTTAAGCCTGGAATCGAGCACAAATGCAAGTTCCAAAATATAGTTAAATAAGAAATTTTGGTAATTCATATTATTTCTCAGAGTGCATATTCAATAAAAGAAAACCCATTTTGAATGTCTTAAATGTACAAAACTGATGAAAAAGTAAAACAGGTCGAAAGAGCCTTTAAAAAACATATAAAAAATATTAAATTTAAATTTTTAAATGTACGAAACGTATGTGCCATCAAAACGAATAAGTAAAAAAATAAACAGACAAAAATGAAATTCGAGCTGAAAAATTTTTAAAAACAAGCTGAAAAAAATCAAAAATATTTGTCACAAAAAATTATATATATATAAATATACATACATAAAAAATTAAAAAAAAAACTAATTAATTTAAATCTGAAATTAAAAACGTTGTGATTTATATTGTTTATTCAATGCATGGTTCAATGTCAAAATATTTAATTCTTGAGTATTCAAAAACCTAAAGGAAAAGTGCTAAGAAATATATGTCCCACATTTGTGTGCGTATGTATTTAAATGTAGCATGTACATACTGACATAATGAAACAAATGAATTATTTATTGATGTTGCTTATGGACAGTTTTTCTGCCATACATATAAACAAAATATATAGATTGGATAGAATTCAGAATTTGGAACATTTGGATAAATGTATTTATTGATGCATTCTTAGCTAGTTAAAAACTATTTGTAGCTAATCAAGAGATGAATATAACAAATATATTAAATTAGTTAAAAAGCTCAAAGTAAAACCGAATAGAAGTTAATTGCGTTTTTATATAGATGTTGCATTGCAAATGTTTTTATGTGTCAAGTTAAGGCCATGTTATATGTTCTTTCATTCAGCTTAAATCCAGTATTAATGTTTTTTCTCAATGTCTTAAGTGTGCACATTAGATAAGAGGTACGAGTACAAGTACATTTCAAGACTTACAATAAGATCTCTCAATTCTCATCTCTAATTTTAAAGACTGTCCCTGCGTTAATCTTAAGCATTCCGAATCAGAACTTTAAGAATTTAGTTCTAACTATCTACATGTGTATATAGGGTAGCCCTTCAGTATGTACGACATATACGTATATATCAATTCCCTTGAACTTGTAGCTGTATCAGTTTTTTGCTATCAACGACTCTTGTACGATCCATATATACATGTAAATGTATATATCTTCCTCGATCTAAGTTTATATTTTGTGTCAGTATATTCTACCATATAATCAAAACAAATATACTATATATAAATATATAAAATGATAATAACAATATGCAAATTTGGCAACAAACTACTTTTTGAACAAATAAAAGAGAAAAATTCAGATTCAGATGTGTTTTTCATTATGGCCATATAAATTACAGCAACATACATTTCAATCAGGCATATCTATGTGCCATATAAAGCACTGTCCATATTGCAGGTATGAGCAACGAAATGCAGAGCGCTAATAAAAGCCCGCAATAAAATTGAAAATAATAGCCAAAGTCGAGCTGAAGACGACGACGACCAGCGAGCAGCGACCAGCGACCACATCGACGATATATGCCGGCACTCAAAACTAATGAAATGTTCCAAACTCTAAAACGATGCGCTCCTCCACTTGGTGGCAGCCACACGCGCTCGAAAGTCGCCCGACTAGCGAACCCAGCAGCAACCGCTGCCCCTACCCAACCGCTGAGCCCGTGCCGTGCGTTGACTGCGCAGCCGGCAGCCGCCAGCGACAGGCGCATGTCGAGCCTGAAATTCTTCAGCTTTGCCTAGCCAGCCAAAGACAAGCAGCCGACGCAGCGCGGCGATGCGACGTTGCGACGTTGCGACGTTGCGACGTTAGCCGACCAAAGTTATGAGCGCAATTCTATCGTAAAAATGCCCGAGAAACGAAAGCAACTTCAACCAAGCCGTGTTCCGAATGCCCTAATCGACCTTTCTTAACATTACTAATATTGTTTGCCAGAAGCACATGACAAAAATATAAAACTATTCATTACACATGTAACATTTTGGAATATTGTTTGATAGAACAATGTTTCAGTCATAATTATATATTATAATAAATATTAATAATAAATTTATATACATTGCAATTTACATTATTCATACAATATATTCCTCCAATATTTTGGTATTCTTAATGTAATCTTTAAGGTTTTTGTTTGGTAAAGATTCTCCATTTTGCCAATAATAATAAATATTAAACAAATATTTTATTACTTGTTAAGACTTTCTTTAACATTTTATTTGTATCGTTTCTTAAAGTAAATGAATAATTTCTTAAATGCCTTCAGAGCGAGCTCTCTCATTTGGCTTTTGCCTCGCTTCTTATGAAAAGTTAGCTGACAGTCAGCAAGAGTATTAAAATGCAAAATGCTTTCACAGCAGCTTCGACGGCCTGGTCAAGCCTAGCCCCGTGCTGGCCTAGCCCGGCCTGGCCTGGCCTGGCCCGGCCTGCCACAGTTAAGGTTTGCCTTCGCTTCAAACTAGAAATTCTTGTCTGCGCAGCAATCACCGCTGGGCGGGCATCGGGAGGAGGAGCTGCAGCTGTAGCTGAAGCTTCACATTTAGCTTCAGCTTCGGCTACAGCTTCAGCTGGAGCAGTTTTTGTGATTTGTGTGCTTGCGGTACAATTTGAGCCGCGAGCTGTGGCTACCAATGGCCAGTTAGCCAAGTTTGGCCCGCTTATGACAGGCGTAAACAAAATTATTTGAGTCAGCCAACAGTAGTAATCCTTGGAGCCGAACAGGTGATGAACTAGCCATTCGCATCCCAGGCATCTGTATAATGTCGCTTTAAGTGCGCCAACTGAAGTTGTTTAGCTGTCTTGATGGCAGGCCACAGATATGGTTGCCAAATTGATTTCGACTCGATAAGCGGCGACAATTTCCAACTTGTCGTTCGGTAGCGCCAATATATGGCCGGCCTGTGCGATCTCTTATCGCACCCAAAATTCGAACGAGGCGGTCGAAAAACTTTCCAGCATTTAACGTCACAGCCACCCAGCCCAAGAGGAACGCCAACATTTTGCCTATCAGCGGGCGAGGTGTCGCCAGTCACTTCCCAACTGATGAGTCTTCTCTTCTCCACACAGACAGCACACGCGGACCGGGTGAGAGTCGCGCCAACCGGCCTGGTCTCCTGCAGAAAATGTCATGCAGACAATCTCTAGTGGGCCTTGGCTTAATATCTTTGCCTAACAGCTAATGAGTGGCCGTTAGTGATTTATTTCGTAAATGAATAGAATTGCTGGCAGTTACCAGCTCAACTTTGCATGCCACATGCAACACGAGACACAATTGCATTTTCGCTCTCCAAATGCGAAGCAACAATAACAACAGCACGATTTTACCAAAAAAAAACACACACACAAGGAAACTAAGGAAACATTTGGAGTGTGGCTGCAAATCATATTTTCAACTTTTCCCTAGCATATCCATAAATCTTATAAGTCCTTTCCAAGTCAGTTCAAACTTAACTTTTTTTCTTAACAATTTTTCATCATATAGTTTTAAAATTGTTCAATTTCTTATCTTCGTGTACTGCTTTCTTCTTATTTGTATACTAAACTAAGCTGAGGTTGCGAATCAATTTAATAGAAAATAATTTGTTATAAAGTTTTAATATTTAAAGTATTTATGTATCTAAGACAGTTTGGCAGATTAAACTAAATATTTCTACTTAATATTCTTTAATTATTAAACTATTATAATATATTTATAAAATATGTGTTATATTATATAAATATATAATATATACTATAATATATATATAATAGTTTAATAATTAATGAATATTAATAATA